ATTCCTGCTAGTTTCCATTCTCCCTCTCGTACCCCCTGTTTAGCAGGAAGCTGGATAGGAAAGATGCCTTGGTCTTGTTATTGTAGATCGAGATGGGATTTCATTTATAAATATATTATATACAATACCTGAGAAAGTACATAGCAAATGATGAAATACAGTAAAAACCCTCACCTCTTCTTTTATGGTTGTTTTATGATGATTCTGAATCTTAGAAAGGAGATCATGTAACTCCCTCAATGTCTGAATGCCCTTACATGGTAGTTGAAGTGGACCCATTGCACTGAATCTTCCTCTGTAACTAACAGCATCATTGTATTGCCTCCACTGTCCAGGAATACTAACTCCGAGTAAATACACCAGCAAATATTTGTTTTCTGGCTATTACACTATTTTATGCTATATTACTATTGTGTTCCTTTAACTGAAACAAATAATATAATTGAGGGAATACTCATAGAGTCCTTTTTGACCTCAAAGAGGAAGCACTTTACATTGCTTTTCACTTGTCATGGAAACAGTTCTGTTGAGAGTGACAAAGAACTCAACAACACCTCAGCCTATTTCATCTGAATTGTAACTAGGGTCTCTTAATGTGTATTATCTACTTCATGGACTGTTTGTTTGTTGTTTATCATCTTTTTCTCTCACTAGAATTTTTTTAGCAAATAAGTGATGATCCCATTTACATTATCTATATGGTTTTTGAACCTCCTATCCTTATAACTGTGTAAATTACTGAGACAAATTCAAATAAATAGCAGAAACAATAGTTTAAATTTTCAGTATAGCTCTTAAAATGCTTTGGAGAAAATGTGATATAAAATTTCATAAAATTGGAAAAGCATAAATGTAGGGTTGAGATAAGGAATTTCAAGAGCCAAATGCGGAAGACAAAGGATGTAGCCGCCTACTTAACAAAGGTTCTGCCCATGTGATGTGATCAAATTCATGAAACATGATCTGAAGGAGCCCGTGGGAAAGAGCACTGGAGAGGGAGTCAGATGACTTGAGCTGTAGTCCGGGCTCTGCTGCTAAATGAGTGTGTGCCCCTGAACAAATCAGTACTCGTTAGCCATCGATTATTCCACCGAAATAATCCGAGAATTGAATTAATAAATTTTATTATAAGCTTCCCATTGGCCAAACAGTCTGTCCCTAAGTGCTCCATAATATAAATTTTAGAGTTATCTATTCGCTGAAAACTAGCTTGAAAGTTATTTGGAATTCATTCTGCACACAGATACTAGAAAAATCAACAAGGGCATGGTGGAGCCAGAAAGTGGGTGAGCATAATTTAAACTGTTAATGAGTTACTGCAGGAGAGGCAGTGAACGGGTGGGTACATCTGTTTATTTCATAATTTATACAGGTCAAGGGGTAATTTCTAAAATATACTCTATTTGTTCCATACTATGTTTTTTTAGGAAAGAAATAATTTTGATGATTAATGCTAATACTTCTAAAACTTAGTTATGGCATTCAGCCATTTGTCATTTACTCTTTTTACAGGTGTTGTTTATGTCTTCTGTTTTTTTATATAATTAGCTACTTTCGTTCATTTCTACGCAGAAGGGTGGCTGCCTCTTTCTGATGTTCTATGAACTTCTGAAAGAATTAGATTGAGGAAAAAAAACCAAAAAACACCTGAATCGAATCCTGAAAAAAAAAATAATGTTGATTTATTTTAAGTTAGGATATAACAAGCCAGACATTATTTTCTGTGCAATAATTGAAAAAGCATTTGCTGTTTTTTCTTTTCTTGTGCTGTTTAAAACTGATTGTCATTAGCACATTCTCAAGGGCACGTGGTCTAGTTAAGTGATCTATTTACTACCTATTTACAAGGCAAAAACTCAAAAACAATAGTAACCATTGTCATGTTGACAACGATATCATAAACACAGGTCACAAGATTATTGAGGGGAACAATTGTGCCCAAATCTTTTTCAGATATCTACTTTCATTTTTAGTGTTTTAGTATTTTTCCTAGTTCTTAGCAACTTTGATAAATCTGAAGACCGAAGCTGACATCTTTCAACATTTAAAAGTAAGAGTCACATAAATATCTAATGGGAAAATATTCTTAGTTGTACGATCAAGGATGAATGAAAATAAAAAGAATTGGACACAGAAGAAGAAAGAAAAATATCATATAATACTAAAGTAAAATGATGTAAGAGATCCAGTGATAAAGTTTTATTTAATAACTATATGCTTACTTGTAAATTTATTCGTAGTTTTAAAAAATGTTGGATCCAGATATAGAGGCTCTTCAACAGATGGCAGATAATAACACATTAAATCACTACATAGGTTTATGTAGTTAGGGTAGAAATGATTATCTGCTGAATTTTAATGGGTTAAATGTTCATTTCAAGAGCCTTTGTCAAAGTAAAGCATGATAACAAATGTCTTTAATCGGAACAGGATGGAACTTAATGGTTGAATTTCAGGGACTAATATTCTATTTATAGTACCGCCTAATTTTCTCAATTGTTTATTTGCAAATTAAGTGTAAAAGTTGGAAGTTAACTATAGTTTTGGCATTGAATTAGAACAGTCACACATGATTATTAATAGCTTACCTGGATTTTAGTAGACTGACCTGTATTTCATTTTCATTGCCTACTTTTTAATTCCATTGAGTCACATAATGGACTGTAATTGAGTCACAAAGCAGGAAACAAGCTTGTGACAAGTATATGGGACAAACTTGGCATATGTGGTTCTTCTCTCTGTTAGCGGAAAGTCAGTTCTAATAAGTCAGTCGGTTTATCATTAGTATTTCCCTCACCTGGTAAGACAGGACACAGTAAAGGTCCGTGTTCCTTACTGAAATTATGAAATCCAAAAAAGCTATGAAAAGAGGAAGTATTTTAGAAACTCAAGACCTGACTGGACCTGAAATCATTTAACAATGAAAACTTCTGCACTGATGCGTGACTTTTATCGTCTTTATTTATCATTCTTAGTATAAATATTCATTTGCTTCACTTTAGAAATATGAATGTATTTGATAATGGGGCACTATCCAACTCCTGCTGGAAGTATGTAGTAATACATAGTGTATGTATCCTATTTTCTTTCTAAAACCTGAAAGATACTGAATTCCAAAACATATTGGTCCTTAAGTATAGCTTTTCTTTAATCTGAAATCTCTTAATGGGTATTTCCCAATGTCGAGTTTCTTTTTTATTCTTTCTGCAACTTCTCAGGTACATTCATAATTATTGCATTATTATTGCAAGTATTAAAGGCAAAATCCTGCTTTTATCCTTTCCTTTAGTGCATGGCAGAGGCTGAATGACTTGCTGGAAAGAGCCCTAGCTTAAAGTTAAAAAGATCTAGAATTAAATCCTGGTTGGGCTGCTCACAAGCTGGGTGACCTTGGTCAAGTTATTTAACACCACCGAATATTACATTTGTTTACTTATAAAATTTTTATGGTGATACCTACATCCTTGTTTTTTTGGTCTCAATTTCAAAAAAGCATGAATCTTGGTAAGATAGACATTATCTTACCAAGATAGTATGGACATTATCTTTATCATTGTTAGATCCTATTGCTAGGTCTTTCTTTGCAAAGAGTATGCCTAAAATGCTAATTTTATACTTAGCGGTTATAAAATTTATTCCTACCTTTTTTGCCAGGGCCTCAAGATACCTAGGCTGTGCATTTAGATATAAGTAACCAAAAAAATAAATAAAACCAACAGAATTGGTATTGCAATTATTAGGGGAAATAAAATAACAGTCTATGAGGTGCTCTGGGAACAGTAGAGTTATGAAAAAGAGGTTAAAATCATGTCAATGAATACTTTAAAAAAACTATTGGGTTGCATTAATAGATAATTTTGTGATATTATTTTGGACATAATCTAAGATTGGGGATGGAGGGAGGCTGTCCCTGTATTTTCAAATTCTCCATCAACATCTATGATACATATTATGTAATTGCAAACTATTCTTGACAATTTCTGATGCAGAAATCATGTATATATTTATTATGTATTACTACAGATAATAAATATGTATCTACGTACGTTTATTATATATTACATTATTAAATATATAGTAAGTAATATTCCTTGTTTTGGGTTTTTAGAAGTTATTTACCTCTCTAAAATTGTTTCATTTGTGCACAGTACTGTTCTTGTTAATGGAGGTGGTCATCAGATCTATCAGCAGTCACAGGTTTCGCTTTACAGGGTACCCCATGTACATATCTTTTTCCATTTAAAATTTCTCATTGAAATTCAGGGTCCTTCAGACTTAGAACATTAGGTACCACTTGGTGTAAGAAAATATATGGTTACCATGAGGATTAGGAGCTATTCCACATCTGTTTAACC